AAGGGATTCTCCTACCTCAGCCTCCCGAGTAGCTGGGATTACAGGTGCCCACCACTATGCCCAGCTTATTTTTTGTATTTTTAGTAGAGATGAGGTTTCACCATGTTGGGCAGGCTGCTCTTGAACTCCTGACCTGTTGATCAGTCTGCCTCGGCCTCCCGAAGTGCTGGGATTACAGGCATGAGCCACCGTGCCCGGCCTACTTTTTTGGTAATTTAAAATTCTAAGCCTATTATATAAATATTTTGGAATTTGAAATATTTGGAAGAGCAATCTGATAATTGCAATACATATTTTAACTAAGTTATACTTCTTACTCCAAGTAAATAAAGGATGCTGTGAAAAAAAAAAAAGAGATATTTTAGCAGCTTTTCTCCACTGAAGAAAGAAAAAGAAAGAGGAAAAAAAGAAAAAGAGGAAAAAAAAAAAGAAAGAAGAAGAAAACAGGCTGAAGTTTCATTATACCATCTAAGAAAACAAAGGAATTGCTTCTTCTTTGAAAAGGAGTGTTTATGGAGAAATATGCCTATACCTTAGTTACCTATGTTGTGATGTTAAAGTAATCAACTAATGGAAATTCAATGCTAGCAGCTTGCTGATAAATGTTTAACAACCAGCTTTCTGGGGCTGTGGTAGGGGAAGACATCTGACTTGCAGAGTTTGTCAATTTCTTTCTTTCTTTGTTTTTAGAGATGGGTCCATGTTGCCCAGGCTGGACCTCTGGGCTCAGGCAATCCTCCTGCCTCAGCCTCCCAAGTTGTTGGGACTACTGGCACACACCACTGTGCCTGGCTTGTGTTTGCCAGTTTCTTACTAAAATACTCCCATCACGGCTAGTCTCAAGCTACCAACATGGCGTCACTGAACACGGAATGATGCTGAAATGCCAAGAATCCCTCTCACTTGCCGGCTCCAACACACTGGAGTGTACAATTTATTTTCCTCTCCTATCTTGGATTTTACCAGTCACTAAGCTAGTGTAGTATGACTTAAGAAAAAAACCGGAAACTTTACGTGGGCACATGGTTATCCCTGTTGCAAAATTTGTATCACCTTTCAGTGAGTGACTTCAGTGGTGAAAAGTATATAATTCCAAAGGGCCCTAAAGAAAGCACCGATGCCTGTGGTAAATGCTGTTGCAGGCACATGCTCATCCTAAAGACAAATGATCCAGTACATCCCCAAGGTGGCGGACCTGACAGTGCTAGTCTTTTTTGAAGGATAAATTATGCATGTTCTCTTAGAGGAGTGACCTCACTATAGAAGCTTCAGGTGGGCAGAACTGAAGTCACTGCCACAAGTTCGTTAGTTAAGCAAACATTCTACCTACAGAGCAGATTTGCTCAACACCATTGCCACGTGCAGACCAGAAATGATCTCAACGTCAAGTCTAGTAAGTGGAGAAAGTCACTGGTGTATGCACAAGTTTTTCTCCAAAATAGACGGAAAGAATTTATTATAGTAATCTAAATCAAACACAATGCTCGAAATACTACTCAATTTAGTTCACTGTCGGCTCTGAATACATGTAGGGAGAAAATAACACCAATCAATTTGTGGCAATTCAGATATTCGGTAACATTCATGATTTTTAAAAATATAGCTAAGATTAACTCTTACTAAAACCAGTCAACATCTGTCTTAAAAATTTTTAAGAGTGAACTGGAGACATAAATGAGCAACTACTTAGCAGACACCTCTATGTCCTGGAAATCAATGCTATGTGACTGCAGGTTCCATGGAGGTCTTTTCTTTTCTTTTCTTTTTTTTTTTTTTGGAGACGGAGTCTCGCTCTGTCGCCCAGGCTGGAGTGCAGTGGCCGGATCTCAGCTCACTGCAAGCTCCGTCCATGGAGGTCTTTTCTTACATTCTGACTCATATCCTGAATATTCTCCTGGTGGCCTTTCTATCCATTGTGATGACATCTACCCTGAAGTTGTCTACAATGCCATCTCCTACCTTGGAAAGGTGTCTCATTTCATATACTTCATCTTTGTATCTTCTTTGATTATATGAAATGCAGTGCAGAGTTCTACATGCACAGAACTTCAAAAAGAACAACACTGAAATGCTGATACAATGCCCATAATGACAACTGAATATGCCTGTAAACTGGCAATATCTGACCCTGTGATGTCTTGAGACTATGAAGGGCAGGGGCTTTATCCACATAAGCACAATCTGTGGACATGTGACAAATACTAATGTATCTAGCATACTAAGACCTTCGGCTTTGAAGACAAGCTTCCCGCATTTGAATTTCAACTGTCTACTGCTAGCCATATGACTTTAGGAAAATCACTTAACCTCTTTGAGGTTGTTTCCAAATAGATACAAAAATGGGAACAACAAACATTGGGGATTTCAAAAGCAGGGAGGGACAGAGTAGGAAAAAGGGTTGAAAATCCGTCTATTGGGTACTAAGTTCACTATTTGAGTGATGGGCACATTAGAAGGCCAAACTTCGGCATCACACAATGTACCTGTGTAACAAACCTGTACGTGTACTTCCTGAATCGGAAATTTAAAAAAAAGTTAACTCCTTAATGTGATCCTCAAGATCCCCACTATCTGGCTTTAGCCTATGTTTCCAATTTCTGTTTGATTACTTTCTACCACAAACTCCACACTCTTATCAGACTCGACTATTCACCAAATTCACCATGTATTTTCATTTATTCACTCATTCATTTATTCATTTTATTCACATACCTTGCTCACTTACTATATGCTGAAAGTTTTGCTAAGTGTTTGGCATTAAAGATGGTTTTTAAATGCATAGGCTTAGCTTCTATGGCATTCACAATCTATTAATAGTAGAAAAGGTACGTAAACAACTATCATAATACAGCTATGTGACAAAATCAGGAACGGTGGTGACTTGCCTACAAACTCTCGTTTGAACCCTCAGGAACAAGCACTAGCTTTTGCTGGGGAAGCTGGAAAATGTTTCATAGAAAACATAAAGTTTATCTTTGGTTTTAAATCATTAGGAGATTAAGTATTCAATAGGCAGATAATAGAAAATGTTTACCAGGCAAATACAATTAAATAAAGTCTTGATAAGAAAGTACTATGACATCTAAGGAAAAGCAAGTACTTCGGTGGGTATGAAGTATATTTGTGGGAAAAAAGGTGGTAATGAAGGTTGTGGATAGACTGAAAAGGGCTGTGTATACTGTCATGGACCAACGTGTCTTCCATTTTTGTTTGGTTCACCCAGCAAGTTCTTCCACCCTTTTCTTATGGTAATAGATCTTGCTGTCCTTGCTATAAAAGCAGGTATCTGATCCAGGCTTGGACAATCCAGGTCAAAAGTGGCTCAAATGATGTGCCCCTTTCTGAAGCCAGGCCAGGAAAAAACTTTCCCTGTGATTGGCACAATCATTTTAAGAAAGACGTGCACTTTTTTTTGTGTGTGGCTAAGCAAGGGCTGCCTATGATTAAGTTATTTAGCAGAGGCGGCTTGTTTGCATTTGCAGGAAATGAGCCCACTAGGAAAAAAGAAGAGCAAGAAGAGATGAGATACAAATAGAAAAAGAGGGAGTCCCAGGAATGCTGAATTCTGTCCCAAAAAGGGAATACGGCCATGGTTCCTGGTATACTTCCTTCACTTCCTCAAGTGACCTGCAATATCTCAGCCACATGGGCCAATGAATTCCTACTTGTTTCAGTGAGTTTAAGTTCGGTCTCCACCATTTTCAACGGAAACAGTCCTAATACATCTGCCACACTAAGAACTCTGTTTTATGTGGTAAGGCAATGGGAGCCGAAGAGAAACTTTAAGACGTGAAATGTGTTTAAGCAGGTGAGCGATGGATCAAAAGTGCATTAGAAAAGCAGATTCAATGGGCAGTACAGAAGATGGATTCAAGGAAGGCCATTTAGGCACTTCTTACGCCTTTCAAGAATGTGGTCCTTTATCTTTAGAGAATTTCTGACTACCGAAATAGTCCAGCAAGGCCCGGCTCACTTGACACCTCTTTTCTAGTGCCCTTCTGATCTCACCAGACGCCAGAATGGTCCTTTGTTCTGCATTCCCGCAGCGCTTCACTTGCACCTTTGACATCTTAGTTCGCAAACTTCAGTGTCTGTCAGAATCACCTAGAGGCTTGTTAAAACTAGACTGCTGGGCCTGACCTTGAGCATTTCTGACTCAGAAGGTCTGGGGTGGGACCTGAGAATTCTAACAGCTTCCAGGTGGTGCTGGACCTGTGGCCAGCTTTGAGAACTGCTGCTGTCTTTTATCTGTGTCCCCTGCTCCAGTAAACATTCCTTACAGATATTCTTGTTTTGTATGTTTTGAGACAGAGTCTTGCTCTGTCACTCAGGCTGGAGTGCAGTGGTGCAATCAGGGCTCACTGGAACCTCAAACCTCCTGTGCTCAAGAGATTCTCTGTCCCAGCCTCCCGAGTAGGTGGGACTACGTGTGCACACCACCATGCCCAGCTAATTGTTTTCATTTTTTTGTGGAGACAGGGTCTTGCTATGTTGCCCAGGCTGGTCTTGAACTCCTGACCTCAAGTGATCCTCCTGTCTCAGCCTCCCAAAGTGCTGGGATTTCAAGTGTAAGCCACTGCACCCAGCCAAGGGTTTTCTTATTCATCTTTGTATAGCCTTCAGTAGCTAACATAACGTTTTACACAAAATTGGTATTTGATATGTATTACTGTGTGATTAACTATGGAGATAAAATAAACATATTATCGTAATAAATTTTTTCAGTTACCATCCAAATAGAGTCTCTCAAAAAATCAACTGTGTAGGCCGGGCACAGTGGCTCACGCCTGTAATCCCAGCACTTTGGGAGGCTGAGGCAGGCAGATCACTGTACTCCAGCCTGGGCAACAGAGCGAGACTCTGTATTTTTTTTTTTTTTAAACAAACAAACAAACTGTGTAACTAGAGAAAGAACCAAAGGCAGAACATATCCTGACTTCCTTGGGGCTACCTAATTTTTGATTACATCTTCTATCAGGGCAGGGTACAGGTAGCATTACCTTAGGCATCCAGTGACGTTGTAGAATATGTCAAAATCGAGCAAACCATTTGCTTTTGGGTAGTCTCCTTCAGGCCACCCAGAAAAGGGGATGATGATATTCTCGGTCAGCGTAAGCAATGCTTCTGTTATCATGAGATTCTTGAGTTTGTCATTAGATGACAAATTCCACAGCAAACCTAGAAAAGCACAGAGTTAACATGAAGACAGTGCAGGGTGGGAACAAAATGACTGCTGGCAAGTTCCGTGAAGGCCATCAACTCTAGGGCTATGACTAGTCACAAAAAAATTTGGGGGTGGGGTGGGGCGGGCAGCCCCTTTCCCAAATGGAAGAACCCAATTAGAACTCATTAGATGGTGATGGAGGCTGACCCACGTGAACAATAAATATATGGCTTAGGCTACAAACTGTGCAGGTTTAAACTCATCAGATAGATAAATAAAAGCCACACATACTTAAGCATTTATTGCTGTTTCTCTTAAAGGGCCCTACCACAAAGCTGACCTGGCTGAGATAATAAAGTCTGGGCTCACCAGCAGGGAGGCTTAAAACGGTCCTATTGTAACTAAAACTTCAACATTTTTAAAGAGTTGTATTTTTTTCTCCCTTAGATACACATGGGAAAATATCTTCCCTGCCTCCTTCCCCACTAACTGTAACTTTCACCTGACATTGTGCCTCCCAGTAAGAGCAGGGAGGGTCTGCAGAAAGCCTTTCTCCATGCCTGTCAACAGGAAGCTGATCAACATCACCAATTAATGTTATTGACTGCTACCCAATCACAGAATCACATCCTCCAGCTATTTATTCTGGCTACCTCATGTATAGTTTTATAGTTTGGCAGTGAAGGAGAGACAAGAGGATCTTCCCTATCTGCCAGCTTGCATGGTCAAAGATTAGTACCCTCTTTACTCATTAAATTTTCTCTTTCCTCTTGAATCCCCCATATTAAAGAGAAAGACCATATGGGCTAATCTGAAGAAACTGAGATAATAGCATGTTGTAATTTCTAAGGTATATACTGTGACATAGAGACTGAGGCTGGGTACTGAGAGAGAACAGAAAGTGGTATATATATTTACGATTTTCTTTTTTTTTTTGAAATTTGGAGCTCGAATGCTTCAGATTCAGTGGAAGGAAGACTGTACACCGATTGCTTGCTATTCCAGGGACTCCCAGCAGGTGTAGAGTTGCCTCACCATCTTTTTTTTTTTTTTTGAGACTGGGTCTCACTCTATTGCCCATGCTGGAGTGCAGTGGCGGCTTGATCTCGGTTCATTGCAATCTCCGCCTCCCAGGTTCAAGTGATGCTCCTGCCTCAGCCTCCCAAGTAGCTGGAATTACAGGCGCCCTCCACCATGCCTGACTAATTTTTGTATTTTTAGTAGAGACGGGTTCCACCATATTGGCCAGGCTGGTCTCAAACTCCTGACCTCAAATGATCTGCTGCCTCAATCTCCCAAAGTGCTGGGATTACAGTCATGAGCCATTGCCTGGCCCGCCTCATCATCTTTCATAACGCAATAGGTTACCCTAACTCACTAATGCCCAGGAAAAGGAGAAGAAGGGGCAGAAAGAGAAGGGATGACTCTTCCCTTTCTACCCTATCCTCCTTGCTGCCCAGGCAACAATTCCTACTTCTTTTTTTTCCCTTGAGATGGAGCACTACTTTGTTGCCCAGGCTGGAGTGTGGTGGTGCGATCTTGGCTACTGCAACCTCTGCCTCCCAAGTTTGAGACATTTTCCTTCCTCAGCTTCCCGAGTAGCTGGGATTACAGGCATGCGCCACCATGCCTGGCTAATTTTTGTATTCGCAGTAGAGACGGGGTTTCACCATGTTGGCCAGGCTGGTCTCGAACTCGACCTGGTGATCTGCCCACCTCGGCCTCCCAAAGTGCTGGGATTACAGGCGTGAGCCACTGTGCCTGGCCCAGCAATTCCTACTTTTTTTTTTGAGACAGAGTCTTACTCTGTCGCCTAGGCTGGAGTGCAGTGGCGCAATCTTGGCTCACTGCAACCTCCGCCTTCTGGGTTCAAGTGATTCTCCTGCCTCAGCCTCCTGAGTAGCTGGGATTACAGGTGCACATCACCACACGCTGCTAATTTTTTGGTATTTTTAGTAGAGACAGGGGTCTCACCATGTTGGTCAGGCTGGTCTCAAACTCCCGACCTCATGATCCACCCACCTTGGCCTCCCAAAGTTCTGGGATTACAGGCATGAGCCACCACGCCCAGCCAAAAATTCCTACTTCTTAAATTGACTGTGGCCTGTGCAAAGGAAAGAGGAAGCATAGGTACTCGGAGCAGGCTCCTTTATGAACACAGCAAATGTGGCAGACTTGGCTGAACTCTGTGGCAATCATCATCTCCCCTGAAATAACAGTCTGTATAGTTAAAGCTTGGTAATTACTCAGTATACTTATATTTGGTCCAACCAATTAGAACACATTAGGCTTCATGCACTCTTTTGGGCTTAAACAGTTTGCTTCCGCTGTGCAAAGGTAGCTACTTTTTGAAACTGTAACCAGATTTCCATTGGAGCCTACACAGAGCTTCCATTAGATACAGCGACACTGGGTCTGGTGTCTTGTGAGGACTAGATTTCTGGCTTATGAGGAGGTCTTTTCCTGATCAAACTAGCATTTCGGGTTAAGGAGCAGTGTCCCTCAGCCACAGGTTTTGTAACACAATGACTTCATTCCTCCCACTTCTCCTTAAGAGGCCCTGGAAGAGGGACAGATAAAACTCAGAAGGTGGTTGAAAACAATTTAAAGGCAAGTCTGAGGTTGAATTTTGGTTACTAAGCTACAAAGGCAAGTTAGAAAGAAGAGAGAAATGAAGAAGAAGAAAAAAAGCTTCTTTAGTTCTAAATAAGCAAACAAATTAATAGTCTCTGCCTGCCAGAAGCTTAAGAACGTGAAGCATAATGACATTTCCTCCTTTTAAAAAGGACCACACAGGGCACTCAAAGGAAAAGTACACCTTACAATAAAAACCAGAGAGGATTAATTGGAACAAAGGGAGTGGAATTTTCCTTCAACAGTCAATATCCTTTAGAGCTTGGCATGCTCTGTTATTTCTACAAAAGTATACAATTTCGGAAGTTTCAGTATAATTTTAGAATTTCTAATATAGGATTTTGCATAGAAATGTCATGCCTGTCAAATTTCTGGGTGGCATGAAAGCTGTGAAAGAACTAAGATGTTCAGTAGAGATTCAGGATTACATATGCGTACACACACACACCCTCAAACAAAATCAGTGAGTAACTAACTACAAACTGGGAAAATATGTACAAGATGAGATAAAAGGTTAATATTCTTAATATATGGAGTTTTTATAAATCACTAAAAAGTGAAACACCAGTAGAAAAATTGGGAAGGTACACAACACAGAACCAACTGATATTAGGAGCTAATCTACACAGCAATCCATGTTCTCTAGTAACTAAAGAAATGCAAATTTAAACAACTAGATATCATTTTGTATCACTGGAGGAGGCAAAACCAGAACCAATGAGTGGAAATTCTAAAGAAGGAGATTTTGGCTCACTGAAAGGATAAACTTCTAAGAGAGCTTTGACGAAAACAGAAGGAACTACTTGTAAGACCCAGCTCTATCACTGGAGGGAATAAAAATTAGCTTATCCCTTATCAGAAAGTAGATGAGGGCTTTCACCCTGAAATTAAAGTGTTAGACTAGACGAGTGGTTTCCAAATGAGCCCAGTGACAAAACAGACTCACAGTCTTGGGCCATGCCCCAAATTTGCTGAGCCAGAATCTCAGGATGGAGTTCAGGACTTATATTTTAAAAAAATGATTCCAGTTTTGGGCATGATGAAACCAATGGACTAGATGATTCCGAAGAGATGTCCTCTCGATGATCAGATTCTGGACTACCTAATATAATATTTACAGTTTGGGTTTTCATGTATCTCATCTTTAACTGTTGGTCAATTTATTCATAGTGTCTTAATGTCTACTAGTATAGTTCTTTGTTGCAGATGGTCTGTCTGCCTGTAATTTTCTACCATGAGGCTCTCATTCTAGCCAAAAAGAAAGGGATCTGGACACTGTTAAGGGATATAATTAGAATAATTATCAATTATAAGAGACAATGATAACTCCTATTATCCAGAAATTTATTGCCAACTGTGATGTTTGCAAAAAATAGCTAACCAGTAAAGGGATCTTAGATATTACAACTCATGTTTAATAATAATGGCCTCAGCCGGGCACGGTGGCTCACGCCTATAATCCCAGCACTTTGGGAGGCCAAGGTGGGTGGATCATGTGGTCAGGAGATCAAGACCATCATGGCTAACATGGTGAAACCCTGTCTCTACTAAAAATACAAAAAAAAAAAATTAGCTGGGCGTGGTGGTGGGCACCTATAGTCCCAGCTACTCGGAGGCTGAGGCAGGAGAATGGCGTGAACCAGGGAGGCGGACATTGCAGTGAGCCAAGATAGCGCCACTACACTCTGGCCTAGGCGACAGACTGAGACTCCATCTCAAGATAAATAAATAAATAAATAAATAAATAAATAAATAAATAAATAAAAATAATGACCTCTAGGACAGAAAATATAGTAATTTAACAAATCTGCCTTAACACTTAGGCAGCAAAACTTCTAAATTTTCTGATTAAATAAATCCCTATCTTCAGTGAAAAAGAATGAGGAGGAAAAGATGATGACAATGACCACTCGAACAAGGACAAGAAAGAAAACTGGTTCTTTTTAACCGTGTTTTTCAAAGTGGTCAAAGAGTGGGAGGATTTTTTGTTTGTGTGTTTGTTTGTTTGTTTTACAATTTCCCTTACATAGATATACCCCTCCTTTCACCTAAATTTTGCAAAACTTACCTGGAATATCAGGTTATTAAAAAAGTCATGTATTTCAAGTTACATATAAACCCAGGGTACCTTGTTATACATTATGAATGTAGAATAAAATAATATACAATTACTTAAAGTACATAATATTTTATAGCAAAACATTTTGAGTATTTTATTAAAATATAGCAATCCAATTAAGTACTTCTACAAAACATGCAGAGATTAATACGCAGTTTCAGCACATTTCACTGACCATCACCTCTGACTCTTTCATATGTAATGAGAGAGGGATAAGAACCCCCGCTGCACTCTTACCATGACTTGTCCGTTTTCATCCAA